TGGTTGAAGTTTTTGTTTTTACTCTACCGACTTTCTCAAGTGTTTTGATGGCTTATTACTCTTCAGTTGGTTTGTTTACCACTCAACAGTTTGTGTAAAGTGCCTATAAAGTTTTGTTTACATGCTGTTTGCAGTGTGTTTGAGATTTTAATTTGTATTGCACATCTGGCTCATTCCTACTATAAGTACTACCGAACTGATGATAACTAAAATTCACAAACAACTTACCCTCTCCATCCGATATGTGACTGCAGAAATTCACCATGCCAAATCCTGGCTAGATTTCTAGATATATTATCATCCTAAACAGGTCAAACATCCTCACATCCACTTTGTTAGAGTTCGATGTATCCAGTTTACCCACGAGGGTACCAACCCTTCAAAGCACTACAGATATTCAGCCAGTTTATCTACTAACGTATCAACCCTTCAAACACTACAGATATTCAGCCAGTTTATCTACTAACGTACCAACCCTTCAAACACTACAGATATTCAGCCAGTTTATCCACTAACGTACCAACCCTTCAAACACTACAGATATTCAGCAAGTTTATCTACTAACATATCAACCCTTCAAACACTACAGATATTCAGCCAGTTTATCCACTAACGTACCAACCCTTCAAACACTACAGATATTCAGCAAGTTTATCTACTAACAATATCTGTAGTGTTTGAAGGGTTGGTACTCTAGTGAGTAAACTGGCTGAATATCTGTAGTGTTTGAAGGGTTGATATTCAGCCAGTTTATCTACTAACGTACCAACCCTTCAAATACTACAGATATTCAGCTAGTTTATCTACTAACGTATCAACCCTTCAAATAAAACAAATATTCAGCCAGTTTATCCACTAATGCACCAACCCTCCAAATACTACAGATATTCAACCAGTTTATCCACTAACGTATCAACCCTTCAAACACTACAAATATTCAGCCAGTTTATCTACTAACGTATCAACCCTCCAAATACTACAGATATTCAACCAGTTTATCTACTAACGTACCAACCCTTCAAACACTACAGATATTCAGCAAGTTTATCCACTAACGTACCAACCCTTCAAACACTACAAATATTCAGCCAGTTTATCTACTAACGTATCAACCCTTCAAACACTACAGATATTCAGCCAGTTTATCCACTAACGTACCAACCCTTCAAACACTATAGATATTCAGCAAGTTTATCTACTAACGTATCAACCCTTCAAACACTACAGATATTCAGCCAGTTTACTCACTAGAGTACCAACCCTTCAAACACTACAGATATTCAGCCAGTTTATCCACTAACGTACCAACCCTTCAAACACTACAAATATTCAGCCAGTTTATCTACTAACGTATCAACCCTTCAAACACTACAGATATTCAGCCAGTTTATCCACTAACGTATCAAGCCTTCAAATACTACAGATATTCAGCCAGTTTATCCACTAACGTATCAAGCCTTCAAATACTACAG